AATCATATCCTAGCAACTCCTCCACACATTGCGTTTCCATGTCTTGTTGCGCTTTCACTTTTCTTGATCAGTAGCTTTGCGAAAGTGAGCACCTTCTCTGCGTTGAACCTGTGCTAATTAGGTCCGCTTCCTGCAACAAAACTCGTTCCGTGACATAAAGCGGAAGATAGAGAAATTGGCAGATTTTTTGCTGACCACTATCACATGGGTATATAGGTCGTCAAGAGGCTTTTCTTCTCTCCGCTCCGAAACGTACCGGGGCCTTTTCTCGCAAAGATTACTAACGGATGGCTCTTATATGTGGGCCTTAGAGGCCATCGAGCGAAGACGATTCACAAGCTGCACCAGAAGTATGGACCAGTGGTACAGATTGGGCCAACGGAACTTAGTTTCTCTAGCATGGAAAGCATAGAAACAATCTATGGAACAGGAACTCGGTTCCTCAAAGCAACAATTTATACAACCATGGGCCGTTTGGGTGTTTTCAACACACAGGATCCAGTAGCTCACAAGGAGCGGCGGAGGTTACTGAACCACGCTTTCTCACAACACCATGTCAATGGTATGGAGCCAGCTTTTCAAAATTCGGTGCGGAAGCTGGTAGCCAGGATAGAGCAGCAGAAAGGAAAGGCTCTGGACGTAAAACATTGGTTCAAGATGTACACACTGGATAACGCGGGCGAAGCTTTCCTCGGAACATCCTTTGGAGGCTTAGATTCGGACGAGTCACCGCAATATGTGAAAGATTTTGATTTGTTTTTGATTTCGTGGACTTTTAAAGTAACTTTTCCGATACTCTCTTGGTTGCTGCAGAGAATACCCCACCCAAAGATTCAGTTTATCTTTGGTACAGACGTTCGAATATATCAGGTTGGTTTGCAATCAGCCCGATTAGTCTCTTTTCTTTGGTTCGACTCCATCATTTGTATATAAGTGACTGACTTGCGGTTTTTGCTCTTCAAATAGTATGGAATCGATCGATTTAACGAATACATCCAGACATATGGACGTGCGTCACAAAGAAAAGATCTTTTAACCAAGATGATTGGTCGTAAAGAAAACGATCCAGATGCCTTAGCCGACAGTGAGGTTGCTGTGGAAATCAGTAACCTTGGCTTTGCGGCCACGGATACCCTGGGGACCGCTCTGGTGTACCTTTTCTGGGAGCTCGCTCGGAATCCGGCCCTAGCGGAACGACTTCGCTTCGAGCTCGCTGAAATTCCGCTAGTACATGGGGTAATGCAACATCATAGGGTGTCCAGTCTCCCCTTCCTAGACGCTCTTATAATGGAGGTATTACGAGCCTACCCACCTCTGCCAGCTGGACTCCCAAGGGAGCCCTCTGTGGGTGGGTTGAGCATAGACGGCGTCTACATCCCTCAAGGTGTGAGTAGATATATACATACATATTTCCGCAGATATCCTCTCCTTTTCTTCGATCCGCGGCCTGTTAACTATGATCCTTGCTGATATATATGACGAGCTTAGACCGTTGTTTCAACGAATACGTGGACCACCCATCACAACCCGGATTATTTCCCAGACCCTGACAAGTTCGACCCGACCCGTTGGCTTGGAGACAATGTGTCCGATGGGATGAAGAAACTCTGGATGCCATTTTCCAAGGGCCCACGGAATTGCATGGGACAGGCCATGGGGCTGTTCGAAATGAAGATATTAGTCGCGACATTGATCAAGCAGTTTAACGTCAGCGTTGACGATGCGATGAGTTATGACGGAATGGATGTTATGGATTATTTTGTTCTCATCCCCAAAGGGGGTAAATGTCTTCTCAAATTCACGCCGGTTTAAATAAGTGGGATATGATAAACAAGTGATAAGTCGGAAGATTTCCCCAAGCTGTGTCGTTTAAATAAAGTTCAGAGAGAGGGAGGTTTCACATCTTCCAGAGTAAACTAACCTAGTTAGTGACCTCGGCAGCTTGCCTGGCTGGCTACCCTCCATGTTAGTCAAGTCACAATACCAAACTAACTAATGTATTTCACCACGAGCGGCGGATTCTCTCTGAAAATCATCAAATATTTAACATATTCAACAACCAACACACTTAAATATTTAAAATATTAATAAATTAAGACTATCTAATAGTTGAATATATAGCTATTTATTAGGGCAACTGCATATAGTATGTCTAATAGTCCCATAGCTGCTGCAGCACGGTGGAGCTCACTGGTGAGATATAGCTTCAATCTGAGCTTCAACCTGCATATCAAGCTGCTGAACACACTCATGACCTTCCTGTATAGTTAGAATAGTGTCCTGACCTAGATTAGCATGTCTCTATGTCTTTTTCTTTGTCTTCCACTCATTCTCTGCTTGTAGAATCTTGACTTCTTGAAGAAGAAGAAAAAGAAGAAGAAAAAGAGAACACTATTTTGATTCTATATATTCAATAATCATGATTCATTCACAATTCTCCTGGATGGCTGTACATGATCTCTCACTACACTCAGCTGTAGTAATGACTTTAGAGGCTGTACAAAAATCTATTGCAAAGTCAATCTCATCAAAGTTTCAGATTATCATCTTATGAATTCTGTGTTCTTGAATAACTTCACATATCATCTCTAATCATTGTTTTATAATCTTTAAATTTTCCTACTTCACTCATTGATAGAATATACAGTGATTATAGGGTGTACATAGTTGAGAATGACATTGAATGAATCTAGATGTTCAGTTGACTCCAAGGGTGATGATAGAATCAAAAGTATATGCTTGAAGCAGAATCTGTGCCATTCCATGTAGGAACTCTGGTTGAATTGAAAAGACTGACTTATCTGCATTCAGTAATTGCTTAAGAAGGGTTTCCTCTTCAATCTCTGTCAATTTGTGACCATCTGTGTGTGTCTCTGAGTGTGATTTGATGCCAGCAAGTCATTTGCATAGGATAGTTTCAGAAACCTCATATATCTTTAAAGCTTTTGTCTTTGATATTTTTTTTTTTTTTTTGGATTTATATGAAGGAATGATCAACTGTATGTTAGATTCTTGAGATAAAGACATTTTGATGAAAAAGGGTGAAGAAATGATGTGTTGAAGATAGTTGGGTTGGATATTTGATGATTTTCAAAAAAATCCGCCGCTCGGTGGTGAAGTACGTTAATAGTTAATATCGTAGTAATAATTGGCGGGTAGATAAAAGTTAGCTATTATTTCAATCCATGAGTGACACAGAGTGACACATTTGAGAGCAAATGGTGTGGTTACTATTCTCTTAAATCAATCTTCTTACTAGCTTTTGCTGTGTATATAGCGCTTCCAGGATAGTTTCCTCTTAATTAACTCTCAATAACATATAATTAAAAAATATTTACAAACATAATTTAAATTGGGTCAAATTGAACTAAGGTATATAACTACATATAAATACATATAAATGACTGGTATTAGTTAATATAAGCATAAAATAGAGATGCATCCATCTTCTCTCATTGAGATTATCCAATGATAAAAGAGATCTCTGATACTGAAAATAATAAGAGAACTGAATTAATGAAAACAATTACCATGATTTATAAGATGAAACGCTAAAGTGGATTGAAGTATCATATGAGAAATTTGAGTACCGGATCATGTTGTGACTAGCAGTGATCTTAAATCAAGCTTCTTCTAAGTCCTTGTTTAGGTAACAAGGTCTCCAGTAGTGAAGTGTGGACAGCTTATCCAGCGACAGAAACGTCAATTCAATTCCCAGACTTTTGAGGGAGAATACTTATTTTGAGGCCGCATTTTATTTGTCTTGATTCATTGACCGCCGTAATTCACCTATCTCCCTTGTTATTCCTTAGGTCAGTTTCATGCCCATCACCATCAACAAGAATCTTATGGGCCTTGGAATTACCATGAGTAAACATAACCCCATAATGATGCTGTGAAAGGGTCTTCGCAAGTACGAGGGCGTCCATATATATGCTGTCACGGAGTTGAACCCATGAGACGAAACCGGAGAAATAAGGTGCTCGAAGAATTGTGTCTGATTTGTGAAAGATCCCATTATATGATCAGGAACCCGTGAACTTCGTAGAGGCGTTCCAATCAGGGAGTAGATAGATTCTTGGCTTGGTGGAAGCCATAAACGCATAGAACTTATACACATTTCAAGTTCCTCCAACAACGGTTCCTCAGAGTCACTCTATAACTCACCATTTCGAATTTTCAAAAGGCACCCCGGGCAGTCGAGTCATCAAAATCGAGATTCACCTGTCGAATGAAGCCATTGGATGTTCCCCACAATTTTAAACCTTAAGAGGCAGGCATCCTAGCAGCCTCTGCCATTTGCATGGACACAACTCCTTCAATACTGGTCCAGTCTCTTCATTTCATCACAAGTCCAAAGGACAACTGTATGATATTAGCATTGAAAGGGACCTGAAACCAGGAGCAATACCACTGAGAAAAGTAGTGTAGTGACTTGGACAAGATGACCCATGCTATCCTGACGGCTCTGCCTAGGACACGAGGCACAGTTAGCGTTGCCTTCAAGATCGTGAAAGTTGTTGGACGGGGTCAAGTAAAGTCCGGTTGTAAAATGCGTGGGAATATATATATGCACATGGAAGTCATCTTGGGAGTGGATGTACAGGAGTAGGTTGAGGGGTGATTTTGAGTTGGATGTTATCCCGAGAGGTTACCGGCTCCAACCCTGTATCCCAATTCTGGGGCACGATGTGTAGTTATGCGATTTCGTAGTGTCGACAAGTAGTCTGGAAATGGCACATCCAGTACACACTGAGTGAGACCATGGTCAATAATATTTGGTAATAGAATAAATATGCTACGCGCAACCTTCAAGGATGGACAACCTCATTCTGTCAGAACCATATTTTTGAAATATCTCCACAACCACTGCTCTATTTTACTCATACTGTGGCTCAATCTACTCATCAGCTCTCTAGGTACCGCCCAGTATCAAGTAGATATGGTGAGTGGTCAAAATACCCCACAGGTGGGTATCCAGCCACTCAAACTAAGCAATCATGCCATCCAAATCAAAGCAGACATCCAAGCTTTTAAAGAATATTGTATAAACCTGCTAGGTAAAACATGAAACTCAACCTGGCAGATGATTGAAGTCTTCATGAGTAGTGTCAGTGCCTATGTTAAGAAGACTGAAAAACAGTCAACTCAGGCTGAACTGACTGCAGACCTTCAAGTCACCATGAAAGCTCAGGAGGAGATGAGAAAGAATATAGTTCAAATCAAGAACATACTAGCAGCTCCAGCTGTAAAGCCCACTGAGGCCAACAGCCTATTCTATGCTCAAGTCCTGCAGAAACCATACCTCCTGAGAACATCAATGCAACTCAGACCCTCAAGTGGACTACATGAGATTCTGATTAAAATAGAAAATACTGTCTCAGAAAGTGAAATACAGATAGTCTCAGAAGAAATAATCAAAGAAAAGATCAATAAAACACTGGAAAAAAGTCAAGTTCAGAATCTGAAGAGTGTAAAAACCCTAGCTGTAAAGCAACACTCAAGTGAAGACATCACACTGTACACAAATGATCAGGACACAACAAGGAAAATGCAGATATACAAGAAGAAGTGAATGAAAGCTCTTGAAGACACAGCAGCTCTTCAGATTATTATCTTTGAAATTCTAATTCATGAAGTCTCAACAGCAATAGATGTCACAAACATCAAAGAAATGAAAGACAAGATACAGTAGAACAATTCAACATTGGAAACTGCAAATGTCAAGTACATAGAATGACTTAAAAAAGAACTTGAAGAAAAAAGAGTATTCACATTGATAGTGAAGTTTGATAATAGTGAGTATGCAGATAGTGCAATCATCAAGGAGATTGCATTAGGAGCTCAGATATTTATCTGTAAATACTACAATAGAATCTGCAAGCTGAGACAATGCTTCAAATGTCAAAAGTATGAACATATTGAAACTCATTGCAAGGCAAGTCAAATCTGTGGATACTGTGCAGAAAGTCACAGTACTGTGAGCTATGATAAAAGAATGAAAAAAGAAACAGAGGCAAAATACACAAACTGTGATAGAAAACACTCAACATGAAGTGTTCAATGTGAGAAAAGAAAGACTGAGCTGACCAGACTTGAGGAGAGAAAGAGAACAAGATCATATACACATCAGAAAGCAGCAGTAAGATATCAACAAGGTATCACAAATGAATTGTGGACTGATAGAAAAACAGATACTTCAAAGAAAGTCTCAGTCAGACCTATTCTCCAGTCAATAGTGAGGACAGACTTGAGTCAAAAAAGAGACTAATCCCCAAAGAAGAGCATGAGAGCTGAAACCCAGGAAGAAAGTGAAGAAGATGCAGTCAGACAGGTGCTACAGAAGCTGAGCAATAATCAGCAATTGATTGCTTCAGTGAAGAACTTCAATCTGAACAAATGTCAGTGATGTGCAAGTCAAAGAAGTCAATCATCAACATAGATCTCAGACATGCATATGATCTTCAATGAATAATACAACTCTATTAATACTTCAATACAATGTCAACAAGTCTCAAGATTAAGTCATGACATCACTGCTTGCTGATCAAGCAGCATTAACATATGATATTATAGCTATCCAGGAACCATGATGAAACAAGTTTCAAGAGATCATATACTACTTAGTCAAGGATCAATTTGACCTGATCTATCAGAAGGATGAGAAAACTCAGGTATGCTTTCTCATAAACAAGAGAATAGAAGAAGACTGGACACATACACATCATACAACAGATATTATGACCTTAAAACTGCAAGTGAATAAGGAAAGAGTGCTATGCATACACAATGTGTACAACTCAATTACAAGGACACTTGAAATGAATGATGCAATACCAGATCTCTGAAAGGCCTTAGAGGAGAAATCTGAAGCTGAGCATGTAGTACTGAGAGACTTCAATCTTCATCACTTATTGTGAGGTGGATTCAGAGTCAGAAAGACATCAGAAAGAGCTGAAGTTATGCTTGAACTGATAGCAGATTATCAACTAGAACTGCTTATATCTGTTGAGACAAGGACACATCAGGAAGTGGGAGAACCAACCACACTAGACCTGATTCTGAGAACACACTGGGTTCAAGAAAGAGTGATATGCTGTGGACTAGCTGAAGTGGAATTGAACTATGACTCAGATCATCTATCAGTGGCAATCATTCTGAACATGTCAACAGCTCAAAGTGAGCTAAGAAAGAAGAGAGTTTGGCACAGATTGAAAGAAAAGAAATTCAAAAAGAATGTCAGAAAGAATCTGTCAGGAGTAAGCAAGCCACTAAGCAGGAAGAAGATCAATCAATATCTGAAATCTATAGTCAAGGCAATCACAACAGTTATTGAAACTCACTGTCTAGAGTCACACATCAATTCACAATCAATACCAAACTGGACACCTGAGATCAAGGAAGCTCAGATGAAAGCAAGACAACTGAGACATATTCACCAAGAAACCCAGTCAGAAAAAGCATGGGAAGACTATAGAAGAGTCAGAAATCACAAAGAAAGATTTATCCAGAAGCTCTTGAGAAGAAATTATAGAGAAAGAATACAACAAGCAACAGAATCCACAGAAGGCCTCTGAAAGCTGATTAAATGAGCTAAGAACAGAGAGTTCAGAGCTGCTCACACACCACCTCTAAGATATGAAAAAGACTCTCTAGAATCTAAACTGGAGAAAAAGTATGATCTGCTCAGCAAAATCTTCTTTCTACTCTCAGGCATTGTCAATCTCAATGACATAGCTGGAACAGTATACTCAGAACCAATTGAATGACCAGAAATCACACTCAGTGAGGTACAGAAGACAATTCAAAAGATGACTGCAAAGAAAGCATCAGGCCTAGATGAAATATCAAATCTAATTTTAAAGATTCTGATAGAAGAGCTGACTCAGCCTCTTACAATTCTATTCAATGTCTGCATGGAACAGGAATACTGCTCAGAACACTTTCAAAGATCTATAATAGTAGTGCTCAGAAAACCAGAGAAAGAGGACTATACTCAGATCAAATCCTATCAATCAGTGACTTTGCTAAATACAGTGGAGAAACTGCTGGAGAAGATCATTGTCAAAAGAATGTTCTACTGAGTAGAGAAGTATGATCTTCTTCCAGAAATGCATCTGGGTGACAGAAAAGAAGTCTCAATTGAACATGCTCTGCACTGACTACTAAAGAAGATAGAAACAGCACAAAAGAAACAGATAATATTCAAAACAGTATTCATACTGTCTTTGAATGTTTCAGGTATCTTTGACTATATCTCACACTCAAGACTTCTTCACAATCTCCAAAAACAAAGAATTTCAATTGCTGTGGTGAGATGAATAGAAAGCTTTCTGATAGATCAAAGAATCTCTATCAAGCTTTCAGAAGACAGCTCAGAGGAAAGAAATATGCAATCAGAAATTTCATAGAAATCATCAATGTCATCAATACTCTATCTATTCTGTAATACAGATCTGGTGAAGGACTGTCAGAATTCAGAAAGTGACACAGCAGGAATAGACTGAATAGATGATATAAATATTGTGATCTCAAGCAGCTCAGCTGAAGAGAACTGCAGAACACTTGAAAGAATTCATGAAAAGTGCAGCAAATGAGAGACAACACATGACTCAAAATTCAATTCAGCAAAATACAGTCTGATACATTTATTCTATAGATTCAGAGAATTCAATGACAGCTATACAATGATTATAAGAGGACATACAATCACACCAAGCTGATGTTGCTGAATACTAGAACTCATACTTGACAATCAGCTCAGATGGAAGAATCATATTGAGAAAGTGAAAGTCAGAACAATCAAGACTCTGAAAGCTCTCATCAGCCTGGCAGAATCTACCTGAGACACAGAATATAAGAGTCTGAGAAATATCTACAAGACTGTTATTTTGTCACAGATGACATTTGCAGCATCAACATGATATGCACTAGCTGAAAATACACTCAACTACAGATCAGTACTGCTCAGCAAGCTTGAGACTGTGCAAAGAAAGACAGTCAAAATCATCACAGATGCATTCAAAACAGTTTCTGAATCAGCACTGAATATTGAGACTCATCTTTCATCACTGTGACTGCACTTGGAAAGAATTACAGCTGAAACATATTTAAGACTCAGAACAACCCCACAATAGAACACTCTAGATAGAATTTGGAAAGAAAAAATCTGACAGAGCTACAGATATGACTGAGAATCTCTGTCAACAAAATGAACATCTCTGAAATGACATGAACATTGATGCTGAAAGGCTCTTGACAGAGAAGAGATTAACAATCTGAAAATCAGAAAGTTCTATATAGTTCCTCCCTGGTGAAAATCACTAGAGACACATATAGAGAATAGAGAAGCAGCAAGAAAGAGTCATGATAAGAGATGACTGAAAGGACTAAGAGCACAAAACAAGCTGATAGTATATACAGATGAAAGTGTCATAAATAACAAGATAGGTATCTCAGCAGTGCTTGAGAATCTTAACTTTACAGAAAAGATATACTTGAAAAATGCAATCAGAGCAACAGTCTATTTAGCTGAACTCAAAGAAATTCAAACAGCTATGTTCATGACTCAAATTCTGAACAAAGATGCTATTATCTTCTCAGACAGTCAGGTAGCAATTCAGGCAATTCATGATTCTCAAATCAATGATCAATAAATTCTTGAGCAAATTGTAAAAATCTGAAATCAACTCCAGGGGATTGGTATTCAGATTGAAATAAGATTAATATCAGCACATGAGAATATGCCAGAGAATAAGCAAGCAGATATGGCAGCCAAAGAGATCACAGGCTGGAGGCTAGCAAGAAATGCATGAGGTTAGAATGTTCAGATGGACACTGGCCAATTGACACAGACAGCAATCACTCAGATATCATTGAAGCTGCTCAAGACTAGACTAAGAACTCAAATGAAGATGACTTGAGTGGAAATCTGACAACATGAGAAATGAGAATGAGATCTCTTCTGAATAGTCAGAGAACTCAGCAAGAACATCTCTAGACTTCACTCAAAGCTGATCTGACCTTTGTCAAGTATTCTAACCCAGCTGTGTACAGGTAACATTGAACTATGTCATTTCCTGTGCAGAAGAAAGGCTCCAGGAGTTGAGAATGAAATATGTAAATGCAGCAGAGGAAATCAGACAGTGGCACATGTACTGCTTAACTGTATCAAGCACATAAGTCTCTGGAAGGACCTCTGAGTAGAGGAAAGAACTACAGACCTTTGGAAAATGCTCTCAGATTCAGATATAGTGACTCAAGCTGTCAATTTTATGCTCAAAATCAAACTCCTTGAGCAATTTGAAAGTGTACAGAATCAAACTGTCAAGCAATGAGTTCTTAATTGTTTTCAGACACTCAATAGCTCATGCTGCAGCAATGTGTGTGAGCAAGATAAGAATGATATGATAGCTGCAAAGCAAAATCCAACTGACAATCAATGTCTTTTTTATGTTATTTTCTTATATTTATTCACTGACATCCAATGTCTTTTCTTATGTTATTTCCTTATATCTATTCACTCAATTCTTCTTAGGCACCTCACAGGTGGCTGCCACCACCTGGCAGTGATTT